GTATATAAGCAAGAGGTATAGGGCAGAAGCAGACACGATTTTCAGAGCTCTCACCACCAAAATTAGCATTTAAGAATATTTTCGTTTTCTGTTAGCGATCTGCGTCTCAACTAGGGAATCTTTTACAAACAGAAAAAGGTGTTGTGTAAATGCAGGGCAGGGGAACTGCATTTGTCCCGCTACTCTATTCAAACACTAATATTGAAATATAAATAAGAATCTGAGATGACAGATAAATTTAGAGAAAAAGAAAGGTTTAGGGATAATATCAAGATTATCTGTAAATCCAAAAGGACAAACATCTTCTATTTCTCTATATATGTCAAATACTTTTCCAAACAATTATCGAGTACAATCACCAAATATTAGGAGATTCATCCCCAAACCCTTCTTTTTTGGGGAAAATCTTCTCTTTTGCTACCATCTATCATGGTATTTGAAACTTTTTTTCAAAAAAAGAAAATTTCTTTTGACACTTTGAAAAAGAAATTAAATTTTTTGAAACGAAATAAAATTTTTTTTTGAAATGATATTTTTTTAACATATTTCATATATTTTATAAAACAATAATAATATTAAATTATAGTAGTTTAAAATAAAAATATTATTTAAAAAAAAATCTTAAATTTCTTCAAAATCCCATAAACTTGTAACAAATCCTTTTAAGATTTACTAAAATCTCAGGTTTTCTTGGATTCACTTAAATCATGAATTCTTTCAAATCTTTGATACAATAAGCTCCCCTAAGTTTTTTTTTCAATATTAGGTTTGGGTAAAAATCCTTAATCTGAAATTCAAACCAAATAATCTGATTCGTTATTCGATCCGAAATGTAAAAATACCCAAATAGATTTGGTAGGATGTTACAAAACATATCCTAATCCGAAATATTTTTAACAAACAACCAAAATTACAAAATTAATAGTCAATATTATATTGAAATATAAATAAGTATTTCAAATACTCAGTTCAATATTTATTTTGATTAAGAGATATAAAAATAAGTATTGGAATTTAAATAAATATTTTAAATATCCAGTTATCTATAATTATTTTTTGTTGAAATAACAAGTCTATTAACTTGATGTGTGTTAAATTAATCTATTCAATTTGAATTTTGTTTTCCTTATGTTTTGCTTTTAAAGTCAGGTTTTTTATTCTACATATATTCGAATCGAACTGATATAATACTGGATCTAAATGATATATAACTACTTTATGAGGTTTGGTATTTGATACAAATTAAATTCGAAACTAGAGATGTCAAACAGGTTGTCCCGTTCCGGACCGCAGCGAGATTTTTTTTAAGCAGGTCAGGCTCGCGCGAGATGCAGCCTCTGGAATGGTTATTGATGTTAGGAGTTTTCAAGGCTCCTAATCAAATGATATATTATAAAGGATGTCAAAACAGTTCTAAGTGATTCTAAATCAAATGGAAAGAAAGACCATGCTTAATCTAAGTGCTATCAATTGGTTAGATGATTTTTAACTAAGGAACTACTAATAAAGCAATAAAGATCAAAGCTTTCTTTCTAAATGAGATGGGAGAACTCATGAGACAAGGGAATTGATTTTGGGTGATCAAGTTTCAATCTAACGGTGGAAGTTTTTCAATCAATCTTTCAATCCTAGGCCTAGACCCAATCTTAAAAAAACTATATCTCTAGATGACTGTTCATTTGCATGTACCATGAGGGAAAGGTGAAAAGAACCCTATGACGGGAGTGCAATAGAGAGCCTGAGATCCGATGCAAACAATCAGTCGAAGGAGTAGTCAAGCGCACTCACTCTAACAGCGTACCTTTTGCATGATGGGTCAGCGAAGAAATGGGAAGAGCGGCTTAAGCCATTAGGTGTAGGCGCTTTCCAAAGGTGGAATATTCTAGTTCTTCCTATTTAATCTGAAAGCGATCGATCTAGCCATGAGCAGGTTGAAGAGAGCCACCGTTGTCATATATTCAATACACCGTACTAGATAAATATCATATTTATGGAATACGATTCACTTTCAAGATGCCTTGGTGGTGAAATGGTAGACACGCGAGACTCAAAATATCGTGCTAAAAAGCGTGGAGGTTCGAGTCCTCTTCAAGGCATAATATTGAAATGGAATAAGTTCGGTAGCGGATCGCGAAATCTTGGCGATCAAAGATGACTCAAGCATCTAATCTCTTAGGTTGAATACTATCTAAATAATCATTAAAATCAAGCCTACTAGCCATCCTAACACCTTTAACAACAAATCTCTTTGGTAAAGAATGTTAATAGCATTAGAGAGTTGGTTCATGCATTTCATCGAACACCTCTCGGGCATGAAATGCCTAAAGCTCTATTTTAAAGAGGCTAACTCTAAAATAGCATTGAGAACAGTCTACAAGCAAGGAACAAGATGTATTTATACTAAAACACCCTAGATCTAACTTAATCAAATCTCCCTAACTCATGAATCCAAAAATGGTCTACTCACTAATCTTCATGATTAAACTTAAATCCATGATGGATAGAAGACTAATCATGTTAAGAAGAAGTGGTAGACTCAAATTACTAAATGATTCAACTTTCCAATGTGTTTTTGAGAGAAAAGAAGATAAAATCCCAAAATGGGATTACAAGAGTATTTATACTTAGGTTTAGGAGGCATAAAACATCAAGACAAATGACTAAAATGTCCTTGGAAGCACTTGAGATTCGACCAGATCTCCCACAAAAAAACGCACAGGGTAGATAGATGGTAGGGCTGCCCGCGAGTTTCTCCTCGGCCCGTTCGTCTGGTCTTGCTTAGTTCCTTGACCGCGCTGGTAAGACTACCCACGAGTTCCTTGACCGCATTGGTCTGAGCTCGGCCAGGCTCCATTCTTAACCTCTTTTTGGGTACTAAAGCTCCCAAACATCTCAAATCACTCCATTGCACACTACAACACCTAATAAGGACAATGAATGCAATAAGGACTCTAAGAATGCCTAATCTCTAATGTATATGCTCAAAATATAAAAGATAGGGTAAAATTCTCATGTACTCTTAATGAGGCAAAAAACATTCTGTCATACTCTTACGAATTCTCACATACTCTCTACTTTTCATGAAATAAGAGATTTCCAACTTTACCCTTACGTTTTCCCTCTTCAATATAAAATTTGAATTTCGAATTTTAGATATCAAATTTGAATTTAGAATTTTAGTAAAACTAGAAACTAAGTTACACCATTATCGAAATACAACTTGGTATAATTATGTCTTAGTTTTACCAAGTTATACATTTGTAAAAGATACAACTTGGTAAAACTAGAACCTAGTTACACCAAGTTATACAATTTTACCAAGTTGTACATTTGTCAAAGGTACAACTTGGTAAAATTAGAACCTAGTTACACCAAGTTATACAATTTTACCAAGTTACACGAAAGTGAAACTACAAATCCAAAAAAACTTGGTAAAACTAAACCTAGTTACACCAAGTTACACGAAAGTGCAACTTGGTAAAACTGTTTTTCTGGGTTTGTAGTTTCACTTTCGTGTTTTAGATCAGAAAACTAAAAATAAAGAAAGTAGATGGAGGAAGAGACAGATCTAAGAAAATCGGAGACGAAACTAGCAAAAACAGAGACTAATCTAACAAGGAAAAAAAACATAAAAGAAGAGAAGACGGAAGAAACGAAAGAGAAGGAGAAGAAGGCGGAGGTGGAGACGGAAGTGGAAGAGGAAGATGAAGCAGAGGACAATGACGCGGAAAAAGAAGACCAGAATCCTTTAACTAAAAAAATATAATCCGAAGAAGAACAAGAAGAATGAAAGAAAAGTAGAAAAGGGAAAGTGTTTTGAAGAAGACAAGAATGGAAGAAAGCGTTTAGATATGTAGAGATAAGAAGAAAATTAGGTTTAGTGGTATGATCTGTAAATAAGTAAATTCATTAAAGGTTTATTGGGTTTTAGTCAATTTTTGAATTAAAAATAAATGAAAAAGAAAAGTAAAAAAAGAGAGGAGTATATGAGAATAAAAATTTTGGTCAAAGAGTATATCAGCAATTGACTCTAAAAAAGATATGATTGCTAAAAGCATGAAAATATGCAAGATATCAGTTATCCAAACCTGTCCCACTATATGTTCAAGCGTTTACGGGTCGGTCTGCGAGACATGTAATAATACATGCAGCAGACTAATTCAGGCCACTCCAAAACACTTCAGGCCACTCTATGACATAATTCAAGTCGACGATTTAACTAGACATAATTCATCAGTCATTGCTCTGCTTATTTTTTTATTCAAAAAAATAATTGTAATTATTTGTATCACACCCAAAACATATTAACATACAAAGTAAAGATAATTGTTGAAGATATTTTTTATTATCTTATAACTTTTTATAAGTTCATAACCAATGTTTTAGTTTGAAGAATCAAAATTGAAGAAAATCAAACACTAAATCAAAAGTGTCAATCTCAAATTAAATAAAAAGAGAAAGTAAATCAAAACACTATTAAAGCTCGAATCGCCATCGCCAGAGCTGTAGTCGTCATCACCGGAGCTCTCGAATCATTATCACTGAACTTCGAATCATCATCACTGAACTTCGAATCATCATCATCGCCTGAGTTCCTTACGTTTTCTCAGGAGGAGTCAGATGAATCGTCTTCTTCTCACTTTCTCTCATTTTCTCAGGTAAAACAAAAAAATAAAGAAAAAATATGGGTCTTTGTAATTTTGTGGGATCCGTTTCAGTTTATTTTGCATAGACCCGTCTTGTGAAGTCTACAATTTGCAGATCTAAAAAACTTCGTCCCAATACCATCCCGCGACAGTTTTTTTCCAGGCTAGGCCGGCAGTCCAGATCGATGATTACCATCACTAGTCGAAACCTAATATATCTGATCTGAACGGGTATATACGACCATCCATCCATGTCTATGAATGAATTCATCCCAGGATAACAAGTGCGTTGGTAAATATGAGCATTTACACAAATACCCTCAAGGTCTAGTTTATCTCTCGATTCTGCCCTAAATTTACTTAGCTTTCTGCTACATCACGCTCATCACCCTCTTCTCAAAAACCTCAACAGCAAATCGTTTGAAACTGTTTAGACGGGGCGAGAGATGTCTGATCACGAAGAGAACGGCGTCACCGGTGATGGATTTCACTCCGAAGATGGAGGTGGACGCGGCGGCGAGATCGACGACCACCGAGACTCAAAATCCGAGGTATTGCAGAATAGGGCTTTCAGTTTCTGGAGCTATTACTCTGTGTTCTGTGCGTAATTCGATTTGGCTCCAAGATTTGTGTGAGATTCGTCTCGTTTTGAATTGAATATGTGAGATGGCGATACATTAAGATGAAGCAAAGATCTTAACTTTAGGGCAATTGATTGAATGTTCATATCAAACAGTGTCAGTGTGCACTAAAGTTAGCTCAGATGTTATCCTGATAGTTTGATTGTGGAGTTATTTTGTTATCGTAGTGTGATTGTTGTAGAGGCCTTGTGTGTTTAGCTTAGTGTTCTTTGATTTTCGAGATTATTACTGCAATTGACAAGAGTTGTTTTGATGTTTTAAAAGGAAATGGTTGACAATGAGAGGGGTCTTATAGTTTAGATGTTATCCTGCTAGTTTGATTGTGGAGTTTGTTGTCGTAGACACCTTTTGCGGGTTTAGTTTAGTGTTTTGAACTTCCCTTGATTTTCGAGGGTATTACTGCAATTGAGAAGAGTTGTTTTTGATGTTTAGAAGGAAATGGTTGACAATGAGAAGGATCCTAGAAGTAAAGAAGAAGATACAGTGAAGAGGCGAGATAAGGAGAGAGATGGGGACCGTGAACGGAGGAGGGACAGAGAGGGAGATAGAATCAAGCGACATGATGACAGGGAGGAGGATAGAAGCAGGGATCGAGAGCGACATCACAGAAGTCGTCACAGGGATCGTAGTGTGGAACGAGGCGACAGAAGAGAACGCGTTAGGGGTGGTGATGATGATGACTACCGTCGAAGCCGTGACCGTGACTCTGAAAGGTTGTCAACTCTTTGCATTCTGGATGAAACCCTAATTCCACTCTTATACTTTAGAAGGCATTGTATTTTGACATTTTTCTGTTTTAGGCGTAGAGATTATGACAGAGATAGAGGAGATAGACGCCGTCGCCGGTCTCGTTCAAGGGGTAGATCTGAGCGTAGATCACGATCTCCATCAAAGAGGTAGCTTATTTTTCTCGTTTGATACTGTTTAACTTATCTTTCTCTCATGATTAACACTTCAGTAACATATATTACAAAATCCAACTGTGATTAACAAGGAGTACTGTTTAGTTTCTAGAGTAGATTGTTCTCTTATGCTCTCAACTCTCAAGTTGTTGGTCTTTGCGTTTTCGATTCTTAGAATATCAATCTATTTACTTGCAGTAAGCGGGTCAGTGGATTCGACATGGCTCCTCCAGCTGCTGGGATGTTAGATGCTGGTGCTGCTTTAACAGGTATACCCACTGTATATTATCCCTCTATTCAGTCACATACTAGTTTCTCCTATATTTTTTGTTTTGAAAGAGATAACCAGGAGTTGGTTAATAATATAAAATGCTAGAACTGAAACCTTTGGTTGTATGGCGTTTTTTTACCGTATCCCTGTCGATTGACAAGCGAAAGTTGGGTTACTTTCCCCCTCTCGTCCAAGATTTTGGACTTTGTTCGTCAAAAGTTGACAATCTCTCTCTTATGAGCTCCTTATAATCTCACTTGTTTCACCACTATATATTCTAAAACCTATAGGATGGATCTAGATCTTCTCATAAAGTACTAGTAATAGGCTCCGCTCAGGTGTTTGCCTTGTTTTCCTTTTCTAGGCCAAGTTCCTGCTCCAACCCCAAATCTTCTTCCTGGGAATGGAATGTTTCCTTTACAACCTGGACAGGTATGTGCCCTTGTCCCTACCAAGTTGATCCTTGTTCCTGCAACTGATCTTCCTCTTCTTCTATGTCATGCAGCCATTCGGGGGAGTCCCTATGATGCCTATTCAGGCAATGACACAACAGGTCTGTTATATTTCTCATGGATATACGGAAGATACTGTGAGTTTTGACTGCCCTAACATGCCTTCGTATGTGTCTTCAGGCTACTAGACATGCTCGCAGGGTCTATGTTGGTGGCCTTTCTCCCTCAGCAAACGAACAGGTTTAATATTGTTCACTGCATATTTTTGGTCCCTATGATCTCGTCATGCGTTTGATACACTATAAATTCTTGTATTGCAGTCCGTTGCGACATTTTTTAGTCAGGCTATGGCTGCTATTGGCGGAAACAGTGCTGGTCCAGGTATTTTTTTCTGCTGTATGAATTGCTAAAGTCTTAGGTTGAAAACAGTTACAATCATTTCTTATTCTTATTTGCAGGTGATGCTGTTGTTAATGTGTACATAAACTACGAGAAGAAATTTGCATTTGTGGAGATGCGATCCGTTCAAGAGGCCAGTAATGCAATGACTTTAGATGGAATTATATTTGAGGTAGGTCTTATTGTTTCCCGTGTCACCATTGTTTCTTCTATCTATAGGTAATGATGAATAAACGATATGATTCTTCTATCCCAGGGAGCTCCAGTGAAGGTGAGGAGACCGAGTGACTATAACCCAGCGCTAGCTGCAACCCTTGGTCCAAGCCAGCCCATTCCCAATTTAAACTTGGCTGCTGTAGGTCTTACTCCAGGGGGTGCTGGTGCGCTTGAAGGCCCAGACCGTCTTTTTGTTGGTGGACTTCCTTATTATATCCCTGAGTCACAAATCAGGGAGTTGTTAGAGTCTTTAGGAGCCCTGAAAGGTTTTGATCTTGTAAGAGACAGAGAAACTGGAAACTCAAAAGGATATGCATTCTGCGCGTATCAAGATCCCGCAGTTACAGACATTGCATGCCTTGCCCTCAATGGAATTACCATGGGAGATAAAACTTTATGTGTAAGGCGAGCTAACCAAGGAGCAACTCAAACGAAACCTGAACAGGAGAGTGTATTGTTGCACGCACAACAGCAAGTTGCTTTCCAGGTAAATAAAAAAATTACATTACACTCTGTCTAGAAGTTCACTCACAAATGTCTCTTTGTCAACTATGAATTAAATTGTTCTTTTTGTTTTCTTGCAGAGGATTATGCTGCAACAGGGAGCAGCAGCAACCAAAGTCGTGTGCCTGACTCAAGTAGTTACGGAGGACGAGCTTAGAAATGATGAGGAGTACGAAGACATTGTTGTAGACATGAGGGATGAAGGCGGAAAGTTTGGTAAGAACTCTCCATCGCCAAAAGCTAAGTTCACTTTGGTTTTGATTTGGTGTACACTAGTTCTTGTTTCAGTGTTTGAGATTAGCTTGAAAGAGTATTGATTTATCTCCGTTTTGTGTTGGTATATGTCTGTTTTACAGCCTTTTGTTGTCCCACATTCTGCTATAAAGAATCAGGCCATAACAGGAGACTGCATAACTTCCTTATCTATTTATCATCCGAGACACATCCTTACTTAGAAGGAACAACATGTTGTTATGTGGTTTTTTTTGTTCTTGGATTCGAATATGTTTGCTCTTAAAATGCAGGTGCTTTAACTAAAGTCGTGATCCCTCGCCCCAGCACCAACGGTGAGCCCGTTCAGGGCGTTGGCAAGGTTTGTTCAAAACCACTTTTGTCTATGTTATCTTACATGTTCTGTTCTATGCAACTGGAGTGTCTATGGCTAAAACTGTGGATGCGATGTTTGGTTATGGCGCAGGTGTTTCTTGAGTATGCTGAAACAGAGAGCTCGAGCAGGGCAAGAAACGGGATGAACGGTAGGAAGTTTGGAGGGAACGAGGTGGTGGCTGTGTTTTACCCTGAAGATAAGTTTGAACAAGCCGATTATTCTCTCTAAGATAGTTTTTTTTTGGTCATCAGATAAATTTTTATAAACTATCTACTACTTGTTTATGTTGTAATCAAGACAATGATGGATCCATATTACAATGCTTGTTACCTTTTACTTATCAAACAATGGCATTCTTTTGGTTTCACATATCTACTATTTTTGTATTTGGCTTTTTTGAGTTAATTTGTCAAATAATAAAAATCTCAATAACACTTTATAGCATCTTTAATGGCAAAACGCGGTGAAATAAGTTGGTTAACGATTTATAGATGACACATAGAAATGACGTGTATACGTCGGAAAAAAATAGAAAGAAATGACGTGTATACGGAAGATGCAAAGCTTATTGACAATAATAACACGTAATAGTAATATGTAGTACATATTAATCCCATAAAATTATCAAATGAGTTTCAAGTAAACTTAACTCTTTTATCTTATCTTATGATTTGCAAATATGAAATTCAATAATTTTAAACTTAGAATATAATTTAAAATAGTTAACTGAATAACAATATGTCCTAACTATATCTATATATATATCTTTTAAATCCATTACTACTAAATAACACACACTTTTTTTTTTAACACTAAATAATTATGTCATTACAAACTACGAGAAATGTTACAGACGATTCAACAACCGACAATTCTATACCTATCTTATGAGGATTCACGCACGCCTAACTGCATCACCTGAGCCGCCCTATCGGATCCACGCTTGACGGTACTTCTTGTGCCATGCTGAAGATCTCTTGTAAGCCTTTCTCCACTAATTCACGCCTAACTGCATCACCTGATCCGCCCTATCGGATCCACGCTTGACGCTACTTCTTATGCCATGCTGAAGATCTCTTAATTCTTATAAGCCTTTCTCCACTAATTCGCATAATTCCATCTTCTCTGGGATTCAAACCTCATACCTACTGATGTAGAAACATTAATGAACCCTTAATCAAACCACTTGATCAAGGGGCTTCCACTAAATAACACACACTTAGTGACGATTATTATTATTTTATTTTTTAAATTGTAACAATTTTCATTAATTTAAATTCCAGATATTGAAGTCAATGCTGATGTCTTAAACCCTAAGACCCATTTCTTTCAAAATCTTAAACCCTAAAGGCATTTCATTTACCAACCAGTCTCCACCACCACTACTACCCTCCGTTAACGACCCTTGCAATGACGCCGTCTCGTCTCTACCTCCATCTCCTTCGCCGTTTCTCCACCGCCGTCACAGCTCCCACAACCACCGCATCCCCCGCCTCAATCACCGTCTCCAAAGCCAAGTCCAAACTCCGCAAAGTCCACGATCCCGACAAAGCCCTAGCGATCTACAACTCCGTCTCCATCAACCCCTCATCCCCTCTTTCCTCTCGCTACGCCATGGAGCTCACCGTCCGCCGCCTCGCCAAATCCAACCGCTTCTCCGACGTCGAAGCCTTAATCGAGTCTCGCAAGAAAGACCCACGAATCAAAACAGAGTCTTTCCTCTCCACGCTCATCAGATCGTACGGACGAGCTTCCATGTTGGACCACGCGGTGAAGACATTTGAGGAGATGGAAGAGTTTGGGACACCAAGATCTGTTGTCTCATTCAACGCCTTACTCGCTGCTTGTCTCCATTCCGACAGGTTTGAAAGAGTCCCCCAACTGTTCGACGAAATGCCTCAGAGGTATAATAGTATCACTCCTGATAAAGTCTCTTATGGGATGTTGATTAAGTCGTATTGTGATGCTGGTTTGGTGGATAAGGCGATGGAGACTATGAGGGTTATGGAGGAGAAAGGTGTTGAAGTTACCATCATTGCTTTCACGACTATCTTAGGATCTTTGTATAAGAATGGGCAAACCGATGTAGCGGAAAGCTTGTGGAGCGAGATGGTTAGTAAAGGCTGTGTGTTGGATAACACTGTTTATAACGTTAGGCTGATGAATGCTGCTAAGGAGAGCCCTGAGAGAGTCAAGGAGTTGATGGAGGAAATGTGTAGTGTAGGGTTGAAACCTGATACGGTTAGTTATAACTATCTAATGACTGCGTACTGCGTGAAAGGGATGATGGGTGAGGCCAAGAAGGTGTATGAAGGGCTTGATGAGAAAGAGGGTTGTTGCGCGAATGCAGCGACGTTTAGGACGTTGATATTTCATTTGTGTATTAATGGGTTGTATGATCAAGGTTTGGTTGTGTTCAAGAAGAGTGCGGTTGTGCACAAGATCCCGGATTTCAAGACGTGTAAGCATTTGACTGAAGGATTGGTGAGGAATAATAGGATGGAAGATGCGAGAGGAGTGGCTAGGGTTGTGAAGAAGAAATATCCTCCGCGTTTGGTAACTGAGTGGAAGAAACTAGAAGAGAGTCTTGGATTGTATACAAAGGCCAATAATGCTGCTGGTTCTTCCCGAACAAGACAGGTGTTAGATCAAGAAAGTGATGCTGCTCCATAAAGCTAAAGAGTAAAGAAGATCTGTGTCTTGCTTGAACTTTGCTAGGACTTGTTGGAACTGTGATCCGGGCATGCATTTGTTTTCTCATAAATTAGCTGAAATTATATAAAGATGGGAACAATTATATAGCTTTGATGGAGATAAAAATAGCAAAGATTTTTGGTCTCTGCATGTCCATTCAGTTCATGTAATGTAGATCTATGTTCAACACACAATGCTTTTAATATTGAATTTAAATTCCTTTTCCACCCATTCCTGAATATACCCAACAATTTTTTTTTTTTCGGGTATAGATTGATGAATCATGTTCTTAGAAAAGTTACTGTATCACTCAGGCCTTTAAGGTCTATATTACAACATAAGGTGTTCTAAAACATTGAAACAGGTCTGGTATCAACACAAGAACATTCTTAGACCTTTTTACTAGGCATGAGATTTTGAGTGAACAATTCGGTTTTTCATGAGCATGAACTCTGTTTTTAGGCTCATATAGTGAATGATCGAGATTAAATTAGATCACAAGTTATATGAACAATCTAAAACATAAGAGTATGATTTGTTGTGGTCATGTAGTGTTTAACAAGTTTGTTGCAAAGAAAGAAAATTACAACCTACAACCTTAAAAGAAGCCTCAAGTCACATTATGCTAGTGATGGAAAATGAAATAAAAATCAACTTTAGGATTTACGGTTACCACGACCTCTTAAAACATGTCTACTCTTTCCCTTTGAAAGTCGTCCATTTCATTTACTGATTTCTTTTGGATCGGCTTAACTAACCTTACACGTCTAGTCGTGGTCATGTGAGTATAAAGAAACTTTACAGTTCATTTCTTTGCTTCATAGCTTTTGCTATATTCTGATCCTGAGTATTACTTTGACTTTAAAGTCGAAACATCGGTTGGTTAGGGAGCTTTTTGATCCGGTTATAACATGCGGTTTATCGCTAGAGAGTTTTGTTCAGAAAGTTGTGGACTTTGGTTTATTTTGGAAAGTAATCTAATTTATCCCACTTTCTCTTTTATTTTTAACGTTGATTTATTGATATCACAATTATAAGAAAATTACATAGACGATTCGACAACCGACAATACTATCTATCTTATGAGAATCTATGCCTAAATGCTATCTAACCAGATTTACTTGTACCATATAGAGTATCTCTTGTAAGCATTTCTTCCAGTACGCCTAACTGCTATCTAAGCAGTCATATGAAGATCCATGTCTAACCAGATTTACTTGCACCATGTTGAGTTGCACCATGTTGAGTATCTCTTGTACGTATTCTTTTACAGGAATTAAAATCTGGATCTCCTATAATATGCAAATGGCAAGAAATTGCATAAACTGGGATTTGAACCTCATACATGAATGTAGAAACCTTTAAACCTTAACCATTAGACTATGATGCTCCCACTTTCTTAATATTAATTTTCACTATCCTACCCATTTTATCACTATCCCTTTTTCTTCTTCCTTCCACTCTTACCCTTTCTTTTTAATATTTCTTTTACTTTTCTTAATTTTTGGTCTAACAACACCCACCACTACTCTTTTTATTATTTTTTATTCATCTGTTCACATAAGTGTCAACTAGTATTTGTTACCTATCAATTTTTTTTAAAAAAATCTAGCTTTTTAAATATTAATAATTAATATAGCTAAAAATTATGGGAACAATTTTTCTCTGCAGTTTTTATTTATTTAAGATATATTTGTTTTAAAAAATAAAATAATACTTTAATTTCTTTTAATAATATTTTTATCAAAAATTATTTTTATAAGTAAATTTAATAAAATATTATATAAATTATATTCCCTAAACTAAATTTTGATTTTTATATTAAAATTCAAATTTAAAATAAGTTACTTCATATTTTAAACAAAAATGCATTTCAAAAAAAAAAATATATATATATATATATATAATAATTTTTCAATAATAGTTTTTAAAAATACAGTTTAATAAAATACATATTTAATATCTTAATCAACAATTAATTTCAAAAATAAATTTATTATAATATTTATAAAAATTTGCCTTATATCTATTTTGACTGTAATAGTATTTACAAATTGCTTACTCTTTATAAATAGTTTTATTTACTTTTAAAAATTTTGGTTAAATAGATATATTATTAAGAACATGAATGCATTTAAAATAATTTTTAATCTCTCTAAAAAAATATAAAAACTACATTATTATTAAAACATAAGAATATATATTTTTTATATAAGTTTGAAATGATAATATTATATTTTTATTTATATAAATGTGTATTGTGGAATATTAGCACTACTAGAACTACGCTGGATTACCTTGTATTACCTTGCACTGCTATGTATTATGCATATTTCGGTGAAATTTATATTTTCAGCTTATTCTATTTTTAGTAGATATAAATGATATATTTTGAAATTATATGTCCATATATGTGTTTAGACGTCAAATTAGTTATGAGAACTTTAATATTTTTTAAGTTATTAGAAAAATTTTCATTTCCACAAAAGACATCTTTATACTTTCATGACTATTGTGTTGATGGTGATGTCATGATATATGTGAATAACATAAAATACATATTTTCAGAATTTCTTTTCTACATGGTATTACTAATAAATGTTAAAATTAGATTTTGACCCGCGCTTTCAAAGCGGGGGATCTCTTTTAAAACAAAAAATCATCAAATTTTGTTAATTATAAGATTATGTAATTTATTATAAGATTATGTATTTTTATAAGATTATCTAATCTATTTACAGTTTTGTTGATTTTTTATGAAGATTATCTAATCTATTTACAGTTTTGTTGATTTTTATGAATTTAAAATATACTTATATGTTGGACATGATATAAAAATAAGTATTTATACTCAGAAATCTTTTTATGATTTTAAAAATTACAAAATTGTATACTTAGTAATTGTTATGTAATTTATTTGTTATTAGTAATTTGTTATTATCTTAATTTGTTAAATCCTTAAAGTTAAAAAAAAAAATCGTGCTTTTTAATAGATACTGAAAAATACAAAATATATTCTATACAAATAGTCTCGTCATTAAAGATGGGTTTGCATTTATTAAATAACTAGTATAGCCGCCCATGCTAACACAGAGATCAAATTTACGGTCTTAATAATTTATGTTAGATTATAATTTTCAATCAAAACTGAACTTTAATAACAGTGTTGCATTCAAATTTAATCAAATTGGCTGAAAGAGAGAGAGAGAGAGTTACAATAATTTCAATATTATTTTTAAAGTGGCTACATGGGCAATATTTTTGAAATATATCGAGGCAAATTTGTTTTTTAAGATTTAAATTTTATTTTTTATGAAAATTATAATTTTGATTGTCGATCTTACTTATTTTGGCTTTAAACCACATTACTTAATAACTTTTAAGACTAAAATTTTCAAATTTTATCTTTTTATATTAAAAACCGTTTTCTTGAATTATTATTTAAGTGTTTCTGAATGAGTGTTTTATTCGAAAATATTAATTATGTTCTGTGTGTTAGATAATTATTGAAATAACTTAGGAAAATTGTAAAAGAAAACTTGAGAAATTTCAAAATGAATTATAAAAATGATTAGAAATTTAATTTTATAAACTAAAAAGACTACAAAGCAAATAAATGATTGTTTACCTGAATTTTTCTGTAACTTTATCTATTGGTTTCGTCTTTAACCTCCATCAACATATTTCATCCAAAATTTTCCTTGATTGTTTATTTCTTCTTGTAGCTTTTATATTTTGAACATGTCCCCAAATAACTAGAATAGCTTCAAAAACCTGAACAATACAAAAACTGATGTTTAATGTTTTTGTTAACTCAGTTTTTTTTTTTGAGAAAGAGCTTATAAACTTTGATTTTGAAGCATAAGTTCATATGAACTATTATGAAACTTAGTAAGAAATACATAATACAAAAATAAGCTAGAAAAAATGATAAGAGTTTCAGACTGATGCAGAAAAAAAGAGGGTGTGAAGAAACCCGTAAGAACAAAGACTGGTTTGTAAAACATATATTGTTTGTTGGAAAGATTTTAAAATACTTGCCCAGAAAAAGTGATTTATTTGGAAAAGTGGGGATCGTGGCTTTGATCAAGAAACAGTTTAGAGATCTATGTAATTTTAATTTTTTCAGTAGAAGAAATCGTTAAATTTATTATGATTTTTAATTTTAATTTGAAAATTATATTAAAGCACAAGCCATGTGTCAGAATTTGATTGACCATATGACTTGTGCTTTAGTATATAAAAGATCACCGCCCAATATCATAAAATTAGATTTTATGACCGCTGCGTTTAAAAAAAAAACAGAAAATTACGTTTTAAAAATAATCTTTTGATATTTTCTGGAATTCTCCAGACGATTCGTTTCAGGGAGAAACCGAGATGCGATGAAACAATTCTTGTATCCTTGCAAAAGAATAAATATGCCAAAGTAAGAGATCACAATTTGTTAGTTAGCCATTACACTCCGAGGTACAAATCATAGGAATAATTCTTAGGTTCATTCCCTAGGGTGAACCTCTAGGTTCACCAACAAATAGGATTACATTATTCTATATTCAGTATCTTTTAAAAAAAAAAGAAACAAAATATTTTGGAGTTATATTATATTTTAAAATTTAAAGATAAAAATAAATAAAAATGATAGTAGTTAAAAAAAATTGATTCGTCTCCTTTTTCTTCTAATATTTTAGCTCTTCAGATCTGTACATGCAAAAGATGAAGAAGACGATCTGGTTGATCATGAAAGAGATCTGATAAACAACAGTCAATGTTAGAGATCGAAACTCATTTCAACGACCCTTTTGGCAATTGTACTCTCTCCGATCCTCTCGTTTCCCGTCGTCGTTCATCTCTCTCGATTTGCTTCCGATCCTCTTTGTTCCCTTCACCGTTCATCTCTCTCGATTTGCTTCCGATCGTTTTTCGAAAACCAAAAAGGTTAGGTTTCAAAGCTTTACGATCCTTCTTCATTTTTTCTCAAAAGTGATGGGTTTTACTTGTTTGCTCATATAACCTTGATTTTGAGAGGTTCTGATGGGTTTCTGTCTTTCTGGTTTGAATCGTTTGATTGGCTTCGGCCTTCGGGTTTCATGGATGCCTTAGGCTCATATTTGATGTGTTTCATTGATTTCTGGTATGTTGTTCGTTCATTTGTTCATTGATGGGTTTACCGAGCTTGATTGATGTGTTCTGAATTTACTTCTTTTTTTTTACGATCTGATTGATTTTGTTCTAGATGTGTTTGAACTTTGATGGGTTTGGTTTATAGAAGTTGCTTGCTTGTTGTTGATCTGATAGATTGAGTATCCAGGAACAGAAGTTGCTTTCATTCTCTGAGCTTTCATGCTTTATTTGTTTATTCGAGTTCTTGCGTTTCTTTCTATGGTGTTATGACTTGTTATTCGAGTTAGTTCCTTCTTTCTTCAGGTGCTGTAGATTTGGCTTAGCTTTGGCATTTTTATGATTATTTGAGATAGCTTTAAGTGCTTGGCTTCAGCTGTAAGGTTGTAGGGTTTAGCGTCTTTTGCTCATTCACGCAGCTTTTAAGCTCATCTAAACCATTGAAAGAAACTAACGATCAGGCTTAGATTATTGTTGTAACTTAGATTCACTGATGTTACATGGTTCGACATAAGTTCCTTTTGTGTTTTGACTCTTTGACTTACAACTTGTATTAATAATTGATGATGTTATGTAACTATGTTCTGTGATGCTTAAACTTACCATTTCATTATACCATAGTTTGATATGGATTGATAAGTTACTTAGCTTATGAAAATATTGTCGTTATGTACGTTCCAGGTGTAGGTATGAGTAGCTTCCTTTTGTAATTTGATTGTTTGAAATGTAACTTAGCTTGTACTATGAATTGATATTTCGATTAGTTTTGATTTTTCTTTAACCTATTACTTGAGATGATTAACTTGAATTAAATGTTGAATTAAGGAATATAAGTTTTATATGTGTTTCATTAGTTCATTGCTTGTTTAAATTATGTTGCTACGTTTTAACTGGTTTTATGTTTTCTTATTTCAGAATGGACAATAAGGATTTTATGAACCTAAACGACACAGAATACATGAATGGGGATGAGCTGATGGATCAAAACTCAGATAAAGATGAAGATGAAGCATTACCTGTGGATGAGACTCTCATGAGCATATCTGAAAACCACATCAAAAGAGGAAGTAAACGCAGACACTTCAGAGAAGTATCCGGATGGTAGTAATGAGATTTTTGTATGGTGAACTAAGCCTCCTGTATTTGTTTGCGATGTGAATGATTTTCAGGGGTTTTACGCTTTCTTCTCACAGAAAGCTAGTGATAGCGGAAAATCAACCTTGGATAAGTATCTAGAAGAATCGATTTTAGACATAATGGCCTTCAGTAGTATGAATGTTTTGTCTTATTGGAGAGACAATGCTAATAGGTTTAAGGAGCTCTCCTCGATGGCATGTGACGTCTTGAGCATACTCATCACCACGATTGCTCAGAATCATCATTTAACATTGGTAGCCGTGTGTTGAACAAGTATTGAAGCTGCCTTCTTCCTTCCAATGTAAAAATACTGATTTGCGCAAGGAACTGGTTAAGGGGATATGAGGCTTTAGATTGTAAGTTCTTTGCTTTTGAATTAAGTTATTTGAGCATTTATTTCTCTTGTGTAGTTACTGTGATGACTTGGTGATAAGTTTGGTTCAGTTTTTATGTTGATTTCGCTTGTACTTATGCAATTATGCTTCTTATATCATAACTTATGTATGAACTTATGCTATTTATGTGGTCTTTTGAATTACGTATTGTTGAACTTATGGATTTATGTATGAACTTTAAGTTTATGAACTTGTATTTGTATTTGTAGATTTGTAAATTTCAAAATTTGAAATTTTCTTATATGGTCCATTATGGACCCCATTGAAGTCCATGTAAATATGAGTGTTTGTGGGTTTGGTACTTAATGGACACAGTCATCTTTTTCCATAAAAAATAAGTGGACAAATGGAAATGGGCTAATGATCGTGGGAGAGCCCATCTGACAGGTCTAAGCAGAGAAGCTTAATAAATCGAGAGGTGATTGAAGGATGGAGAAGATGAGAAGCCATTTCGGGAAGAATGAGGAGAAACAAATATCCTAATTCATTATGAGTTTATGCTCTTTAACCACATCTAATCTATCAAAAGGGAAGTAAAAAATAGAAATTACCATTTGTTTACCTTAATAATTATAATTTCATGCCATTAGATTATTAATTACAGAAATTACCCTTTGTTTACCTTAACATCTAATCTACTAAAATTGAAGTGCAAAATAGAAATTACCCTTTGTTTACCCTAACAATTACAACTTCATGTCATTATATTATCAATTATAGAAATTACCCTTTGTGTATCTTGACAATTACAATTTCATGCCATTGAATTATCAATTAATAATTTTACACAATTATATATTATTATCACTTTAATATGTAACGATTATGGAAACTAACATTTATGATATTCAATTTGTCCTCTCTTCTCAACCTACCCTAAATACTTGCCACAACCTGAATTATTTAGCATTTCCTTTAAATTAAATCAAATGTATATTTACTTTTAACAATAAATTATGTAGTGTATTGTAAAACAATTTGAGTTTCATATATTGTTCTCATAAATTTGGTTATACAAATGAATATGAATTTCATTTCCTCTGCAAATAACTAAAGTATTTCTTCAAAACAAATTACAAGAAATTATTAATAAATATCACAATCTTTATAAGAAATAAAAATATATCCGTTTATTATCTCATCATAACTGAAGTAGTTCTTGTTTCAAGTTGGAAGTTACAGATTTTGCTACAAAGATTCAAACGCTTCCTAGATTTTACTATTAATTTTTTCTTCATAATTTAAAACAAGAATATGATGTATCTTAATATTTTCTAACTAATTAATGCTAAAACATATCTTCAAATATATAAGGAAATAAATTGATTTGTGAAAAATCATCTATAAATAAAATTCTTCATCTTCTTAGATAAAACATATGATCTAAACTATGTGTAATACCAGAACACATAAATACCAACTCTCTATAAAAAAAATTAAAATAGTAATTTTGATATTATCATCTATATTTCCTAAAACTATCTATCAACATTTAACGTATTAAAAATTATATTTTTGAGAATGTTTAAATGATATAAAACAAATTTCAAAAATAACTCGGTAGCTTTCGCTTAATCGAATAATATATATCAAATAATATATAAAAACACACATAAATCATAACAAAAACCATTGTGAAAAAAACAATTTTTTTATATGCAAAAGATATATTCAAACGTGAAATAAATATTCTAATATTCCTGAACATATTTTCTTACAAAATCTCCCAATATATAGATGGTTATATAAATCTATCTAAAGCATGACGTATTGAATAGGTTTTCATATTTGTTTAAACCCAAAATTTATGTTTTATTTTACATCATTTATCATTCAATAGTTATAAACAAAAATAAATAATCCTAGTAAACTACAATTTATTAGTGTAGGTGATTATTAGTGTACATTATCATTTTTAAATATTAAAAAAAATAGAGTTAAATTTTCTTCATAATTAATTAGGCATTTATAATACTTCAAAATATAATTATACATGCAGTACAAAATTTATTAATATATAAATTACTAAAACAATATTAAAATATATATTAATTATTAAACAATAATTAGTTATAGAAAAATAAGTAAAAATAAAAATCCATATGAACGAGCGGGTCAAACTCTAATTTTTTGAATTAAAAGAAAATCATTTTCATAAGTGGGGTAAATTAGAATTTTTGATAGAGATTCTAGGGTAATTAGAATATTGTCCGTTTAGTTTTCACCCATGCGTTTTTTTATGTCCGATGTGGTGAATTAACTTGGCCAATTGGTCCCACCACCACCACTAGAAATTTAGTTACCCCTAGAAATGTAATCAAGGCAAAACGGATTCAGGAAGCTTCTAGATGTCGTAGTCTAACTAATAGCTTGTGAACCAAGTAGCTATGAGCTTACTCACTAAGGATAACAATACTTTATTTCATCTATAAAAAGCTAACACACAAAAGTACTACAGAAAATATTTTCATACATTAGAAAAAAAAAAAAAATCACAGTCCTTAGCATCTCAGAAACAATTTCTTGCTTCATAGTTTTTGCTATATTCCGATTCGATCTCGATTGAAAACGAAAAGATGATCTGCGGTTACTTTAGACCCAAGTTCTACAAGAAATGGTTAGCTTTCTTTAAATCTTTTTTTGTTTTCAAGTCTGTTTCTAGTACTGTATTACTATTCTAAGATCATTCTTATTCATGTGGATGCAGCAAACAGTTGATCAAGATCATCAAGATTCAGCTCAACTTACAGAGGAAAAGGCAAAATGCTATGCTTAACGTCTCGAAGACAGATATCGTGGAGATTCTCAATACTGCCCATGAAGATGATGAAACAGCCTATAAAAAAGTAAGACTCCTCTCTCTAACTATCCCCATCCTCCTAGTCCTCTGTTTCTTACTATGTCATTCTTGATACTGCAGGTCAAAGAATTACTCGAAGACCGTAGGATCATATCTTCTTATGATCTCATCGAGCAGTTTTGCGACTGTATCTCCTCCAATCTTTCGTTAATGCTGAATCAAAGGTACTTTCACTATATTCTCAAGATTGTTTCCACTCTACAAAGGTCACAAATTTTCTGTTTATATACTGTTTCCAGGGAATGTCCTAAGGAATGCCGAGAAGCTGTTTACTCTCTGATGTATGCAGCAGCATGGGTTCGCAACGTTCCTGCAGAACTTAAAGATCTTAGAGACTTGTTTACACGTAGATATGGAGAATCCATTGACGCGTTTGTCAATCCAGAGGTGGGTTTCATTTGCTAATACTTAGTACTATGTATGTTCAAGTTTCTGACATTCTTGGTAATTAAAATCCATGTTCTTGACAAATCTTGGTAACGTGCAGCTTGTTGAGAAACTTGTGCGGCGCAAATCTTCAAGGGAAGTTAGGGTTCAGACTTTGCAAGATATTGCTCACGAGGCTAACATCAGTTGGGATCCTATGTCTCTCCTACTGAGGCTACACAAACAGACTTCAGCTTTGCACGACGAGAAGAAAGAGAAGAGTGTTGCTCAAGAAAACACAAAGTTTCGTGGTCCACAAGGCAGTGCGAGTCTCACAAGCACACGCAATAACGAAGTTTCTTCAACAGAAAATTACAAGAGAAAGTCGTCGTTCAAGAGATCGAAGATCCCTGATTACGAAGAAATGGTGGCACATCTTCGCCGGAGATAAGAGATAGTTGATTAGTCTCTTAATTAGGGCTCATCTTCGGAATTAGGTTCATATTGGTGCTTAAGTGGTTGATTGGTAGGTGCTTTAGAAATGATTCCACAGCCCAAATTAGTTCTAGAGCACAAAATTATCCAGTCATGCTTTGTAAAGATATTTCAAAGCCACATATATTTTTTTCTTTTAGTTTATTTTTAGCTGTGCAAAGTAGTAGAAGTACTAAACTAAGAGATTTTAGTTTGCTTAAAAAAATTATATATAAATCATTATATTTTTATAAATTTACAGCAAAAATCTTACTGTTAAATTATCTACAACCATAACAAAACATCTATAGTTTTAATTCTACAATAAAAAAAAAAGTATAAAGCTACACCTCATTCCAATCAAGCTCTAAGCAATTAGATCACATGAAAGATGTAAGCGAAATTTCCTAAGATAGTTTTTTATTTATTTATTTTCACAAAATAGTTCTCAATGGGAAAATGACCAAAATAGGTTTTATTTAACGGATAAATATGCATTTATACCTTAGGATTAACTAATATGGACTTAAGGTTTAGAATTAAGTGGTGTAGTTTTGGGATAGGATTTCAAATTTTTTTAAAAATAGAAAATAAATATTACAAATTGCAAAATAAAAAAAACTATTTTCATCCTTTTATTTTTAGAGGTCTATTTTGTGACAAAAACTTAAAAAATATTATTTGAGAAAATTGTAATTATCTTTTCTTATTACAAATACTTGAAAGTAGAAACATTGCTTTCATCTAATTATTTGGAAACAATTAAGGACATATTTTCTTAGTTTCATCTATTTTAGGTCAGTTAATAAATGTATAAAATTAAAATAAGATGCTTAAAGGTGGGAAGCTTTGTAATGATTAACTGATCTTGATCTATGCTTGCAAAACGCGGAATATTTTACGGTAAATCTACTAGTAGCTTAACAAACATTTTAAACAATTACATATTTAATGAATGTAAGAGTTTTAAGTTTATATAAAAATAAATTTATTGAATATATTTAATGCTAAATGCAGGATATTTTAAATTTTAAATATTTAATTTATATAAAAATGAACATTTCATCTCATTTAATCATTTTATACATTTTATATAAATTTAAAACTCTTACATTCATTAAATATGTAACTGTTTAAAAGTGTTTGTTAAGTTATTGAAGTTGAGACTTCTAGATTATCAGTTTATTTGGTTTGAGGTGAATGATTGTCACATTGCTTTCTTCTGGTTCAATGATTGGTGCAAATGGGAAAGCTTATTGCTATCTTGGAGTTGCTCGTACTGCATGGGTTAGTGATGCAGTTTTGCACTCTAGTTGGAACATCAGGGGTCAAAGAAGTCGTCACTATCATGCTCTTTATGCTCGCTCTCAGAGCGAACATGTCCCTCTTCAGGGCCAGTTTATTCAATCAATGGACCTTGTGCTCAAAAGAAATTTTTTCAAAATTGTTGTTATATTCCTATAAATAAAAAATTAGAGCCTTAATTATGTATGTTTTGATAAAACAAGGTCCTAATTACTTAAAGAAAATTTCTGAAAAAATAAAGGACCTAGTGCAAAAGCACTGCCAGCACATATGTAAAGCCAATACTGTCCCTCATGTCGCTCACGGTGGAGATGTTGTGCTCTGGAAGCATTCCAGTGATACTTACAAATCATGTTTCTCATCGGCTAGAACTTGGGTCAAATCAGGTAAGACAAACCCATAGCCCTCACGTGCCCGCCATCCGAATTCACGTGAGCTAACGTCTTCCCTTTATAACCAACAACGTCAAGCGCCATGAAGTTAAAAGAGTACATGTCAGCATAGCATTGGATACCTTTAGCGTAACGAGCTTTAAATAGTATAAACTTAAAATTTATAAATTTTAAACTTGACAAACATTTTAAATTTATATAAAAATATATTTAATGAATGTATTTATTAGTGTATTTAATGTTAAGAGGGGGGTATTTTACACATACTAAAAACGTATCTTTAGAATCCTACTATATATTAAACTAGTGGTCTGACCGCGCTACGCGCGGAATGTTTGTCAATATTTTTATTTTAAAACTGTTGTATATATTTTAAATTTCTCAGCTGATGGATATCTCTTTCTTGTTCTATTTATTTCGGACACTATCTTAGACCATCATTAACCATGGCTCTAAGCTATGGTTCTTAAAAAAATAATTTTAAAACTTGCGAATCCTACTATTATTTTAAGAAGCAATTCTTATGTGCTTTGTGTAAAAGTCAACTCTTGCAAAGTTTTTCAAACTATTTGTGGGTTCTACTGATACCCGCAATTTATTTAATTTTTTAAAAATTTATTAATTTTTTTAAAAGCAAAAAAAAAAAATCCTAAGAACCTTTATACTAAGAGGTAAGGGTTAATCATGCTCTTAGTTCTCCCTCACTCAGTATCTCTTTCTCTATCTAATACTTTAATTATAAAAAAAATGTGAGAAAACGTTTTGTGTGGTTACTAATAGTTTTTACTAAACTATGGTTTCTTATCGTTTTATGGCGTGGGTTATTGTTTTATAAAAGTTCACAAAGTTTCTCTTATTAACGGTACAATTTGTTGCCAAATTGATATCTTCATCTTGATAATAAATGGTTGTATTTCATTTCTTTTGAGTGGTTTTATGGCAGGAACTTTATAGAGATGATATCAACAGGTTCTGTTGTCAAACTTTCCTGTAGCTTGGAGTTGTGTCGTTCCTCCTAATCAAACTGCATCCTTAGTGGTTATCTTGATTGTTACTCATATTTCAGTTCTGGCGTCAACTTCAGTTTTTGGAGCTTCATATGTGCTCTTTATTTGGCATAGCTTCATCTCATTTCTTAACTTATGGACATTGAGTTCAGAGAACTTCTCCATATCCATTGGTTTTTTAAGTGTAATGACTTTTTTTTTGGGAAAACAGTGTAATGGCTTTTATCTATCAATTTCTTGTTTATCGCTCTGTTATTTTAGTACATGTTCTTTGTGCTGATTTAATTTTATTATTTCCTATGTAAATATTGTTCCCCTGGTTGGGAAGTGATCTATCAATCTAAAAAAGATTAGTTGATCAGTCAAAAATTGGCTTCTAAGTATATTTTAGTGAGATTATGATAATTTTTATAAAATCTTTAAAAGACAATATTTATCGAAGAGTTTAAGGTATCTTAATTTTATATTGAAGTCGCAGCATTTATTTTGATATTATTGAGTAAGTAAAGTGTTTATATATAAAATTATTTCCTCTTTAACATAAAACTATTTTGTAAATTTTGGTATTAGTTTTTGTTACTTTAGAAGTACTACAACAATCAGATATTATGTTTAAGATGAGGAGACCATTTTTTTTTATATAGCTATATGTATAATTTGAATGTCTATATAAATGTTTAGTAGATTTAACTCTATTTAATATACATCAATTAGCCAGTGCTTTTATTCATTTTTAATTCAAATTAAAAATAGAAAAAATACAATAGTTTGTAGAGTAATTACACGCACACAAATTATGTTCAACTGCTGCTCTTCTTGCCTACATTATATTCAGTTTAGAACTAAAGACATCGGAAAAGAAAGAAGAAAAGGGGCTAAATGGTTGAAGAAGAAGCATCGAATACTTTCTCATTTATATTTTCCTTCTATGAAAAGACATGGAAAATCTTACCTTTATTGGCTAATGGTGAGTTTAGATGGTGATAGGGGGGGGGTGCTGTTGTTAGACTAAGAAGTGTAGATCTAGATAATGCTAAATTAGATAATTCAAGGTTTTAGGGGCCCGTATTAGTTGTGACGATTACGAACTAAAGAGGACTTTTGTTTAGTTAAAAACTTGTTTCAAAGTTTAAACTTTAAACCATGAAAAGATATGAAAACTAAGTTTTATACGATCATTTGTTCATAATAGACTATTCATGTACAATAGTTCTATTTTGAGTAAATATGCTAAAGGCACTTCATACTCTTTTAGTTATACAGGAGGATTTGCAGGTGATAGATTACACTGTATATTACCATTAATGAAATCCCGACCACAACTCTAATCCCATCCAACTACAACTCAGCTGCTTTCTAACCCACTAACTTGAAGGAAAAAAGCTGAAAACTAAACAAACATATGCTTATTTCAAACTCAACAATGGTTCTAATAAACCAGAAAGCCCCACCAGTCAGTATCAAAGGCATTACTTACAAATTCGACATTCATGCTGGGAACATGGATTGGTTCTGAAAATTATCATACCATCATCACCAACTGCTTCTCTTATGGATTGAAAGCAACACAAAACTGCAATTGCAAAAACCAAAAAAAATATTGTCAGTACTTTAAACCAAAAACATCGTTTTAAATTTGCTTGTCTATCAAACTTTTGGTTTTAGTGACCTTTGGATTTCCCCAATACAACCATGACATTGGAAGTTCGGCTTCGACTGTTATTACAGAGGCCTGAAACATTTTAATAAGTAACAACACGGTAAGAAAGAGATGAGCTCTTTTGGAAGCAATTATAGTTTGACTGCTTTCACTTCATCAGAACAGAACCTATTACCACTTGGTTGAGAGTTACTGTTTTTCATCAAAAAAATATTTCGTTTTTTGAAACGATGAGATTCCTTTGTGTTTGCCATTCATTCACCAAGACCTTTTTCCTTCCGATTAAAATATGGCTTGAACTTCTCTGCGTAGATCACTTACCTGTGACATCATTATATGGTGAGCATCTACATATATTATGGGTTTCAACAAATCACGCCACATACATACTTAGAATCAATCGAATAAGACATTATCTTGAGTGTTGGATAGAATAAAACTTACAGTGTTCTAACTTATTTGATTTAGATAGAATGTTTAAACTCATCAGATCCTCATGATGCACCATACGAATCACTTGAATCTGTAAAAAGTGGTTGTTAAATTATATCATATTGAGTCTGATGTAGAAGTTAATTAAACTAATAACTTACCAAAAGTTAGGAAGGCAAGGATTTAAGGCGAGATATCTCAACGGATGGAAAATCAGGCCATGAGAAGATTTCA